TCTGTTTACCGTTTTGGTATAGAGGCAAATTGTTAATTATGTTTTCTCATTTCATTCTCTATAGAGAATGTGTGCGCATGCGCTCAAAGATATTACCCGAGATAGTTCTGCTTACCGTTTTGGTATAGAGGTAAATTGTTAATTAAGTTTTCTCATTTCATTCTCTATTGAGAGGAAGTGCTCATACAAACATATCCATGTCCATTTTTTTCCAGCTCTTAATCCATATGGTGCTGATGAGTGGATGTTAAGCAATAATCATCTCAGAGCTACAGATGCTCGATACGTAGAAGTAATTCACACAGAAGTGTCCCAAATCGGCCTTCCGGTTGCTGTGGGCGACGTTGACTTCTTTCCACAAGGGGGCGTTAGACAACCTGGCTGTCAGGATTTGGACTGTAGCCATAATCGTGCCTGGAAGCTGTTTGCGGCTTCTCTGACACATGGTGGTCTTATCGGCCACCGATGTGAAACTATTCGAAATGCTCTGGATCTTGAAAGATTTTGTACAGGATTTGCTTTACCTCTAGGAACCAATGAACTTGTGAAATATGGGTATGTATTCTATTAGATTTGTGGTAAAAGATGGGTTAAACAGTATTGGGCATGACTTTTCTCCGACGAAATTGTTTAGATCATTATAAAACACGCTGACCTAATGTTGGTTGCGAATTTGACATGTATTGGCATATTTCTCACTATGTTTCTCGTTAGTGTAAAAGCAAGTAATCTCAACATAAAAAGCTAAAGAAATTCAGCGTTTCGCACTGCAATTTCCAACATTAAAATGCGTACTCTATTGTAGGCAATAATTGATCAAATTACCTACATAATTAAGAAGAGATACGTATATTTCACCGCTACTCCAGTCCGATTTGTATAAATTTCAACGTGTCAGTGACAAAATAACATAATGTCCAATGTCAAATGGGAGTGGTGCTTACCATCAGGCACACGACTTGTTCGTCACATCACTTGGTATAATAAAAAAAAGAGAGTAGAGTTGAACTCATCAAAAGTGTCTAGGTATGTTTTAAAAATTGTATATTCTATTAAAATTATATCAAAATATGTTTATAAATTTATGAAAAGTATTTGTTAAATTCTTTATTTTTTTAAATTATGAATGTGATCAGAAAACCATATGTGTTATATAAAAATAACTTAAAAAACAGATTTTTACGAATTGCCATGAATGTGCTTGATCCCTAGTCACTTTTAATGCGTGTGTGCGTGCTTGCGCGCGCGTGCGTACGTACGTGCGTGAGTGCTTATGTGCGTGTATGTATGTAGTATAATCTTCGGATCATAAAGAAAATTCTTATATTTTTAACTGGATTATAATTTTTCTTTTAAAATTATAGGGTATTAGTTATTAAATAATTATTTGTTTCAGAACTGGTATCTTCCGCCTCGAAACTTCTGCAGTATACCCATACACCTGTAATGTTAAATGTGGAATTATTGACGGTGTAATGGAAAGTATCGATAACCTAGGTCGTCTTTGGGAACAACCACCCGAGTGAATGCGACAACGATATCCTCTTCGGCACAAAAATATAATGTTTAAATTAACACATCACTTATTTATATAGTTCGTGAGCCAATCGCCTATCCTAACTCGAATTAATAAGTTTTAATAAAAATAATCACTGTGGATCCATTTCTTTTAACTTTGAATCCAATTCCATACGTTTCTTCAGTCTGTTTATCCATCTGTTGTCACAGCTGTTAATCTCAGTAAGGTTTAGTGTCGACCTAAAATCTGACATCATTATAGAATTTGGTGAAGCGACGTGTCTACCTATATCAGTCGTAGTGCCACCAGAGCGCTATATCACAAAGATCTGATTGGCACTGCCACTGCGCCTGTAACCCTGAGGCATAAAGTTGACAATTCTCATGTCCCGTAGTTTTATCAGAACCCTTAAGCCGTCAAAACCGAAACGCAGCAGTGTGAATGATTGCAAAAATCACGGGTTATATAATTATTAATTAATACAAAGATCGAACACTCAGAAAAAATTCGATTCGATTCGATTCAATTCGATCCGGCCGGATTCGATCGACGTCTAACATACCGGGCCAGACGCTATAGGTACCAATTAAGCCACCTCAATTTTTCTATGTGTTTGTTGTGGTGTCTTTGTATTTAGTTTTTTTCAACGACTTTTTAGCCTTAGCTCCATCTATGACAAATCTTAATTGTTTCGTCGCCCAGTTAGATACTTTTACAGCTACCAGCCCACGGGTTATATGGTTGCATTAGTACAAAGTATTCCCACACGCCGTTTTTTATATGTACATACTCAAATAACGGGGCGAGTTCTGCACTCAATCCCTCTTTATTAAAAAAAAGTTAGCCAAGTGCGCATCAGACTACATACATAACGTAGAATTCCATTATAATTACGTCCGTTATAATTTCGATTACATAATGTTATACATAATCACTTTTTCAAATAAAACAAGTCACGTTAAGTAACTTGATTCGCATGGTAAAGAGCACTTCGGTCTTGACATTTTTTTGGACTTTGGGCCGTTTTTACCACAAGCAACATGGAGTTGAATTTTAATCTTAAGGGTCAAGCTTGAAATGCTCTTGACCTTGTTTGTATTTACAGAACATCAAAATTTTTATGGTCATCTTTAGTTCATAAACTGTTGGTCAAATTATGGGAGGTTTACACCATGTTGACTCCACACAATTCCGATCGCCCGTAATAAAGAACCCCATACTACGTGTAGTCAAACACACACTTGACCGATTTTTATACACCAAACTTGTAACATCGACAGATTCTGGCCCGTGTTAGAACATATCGGGTTCGGGTTAGTGTTATGTAAGTCATTATTAGGGTGGTTCAATAAAGCAGTCAATAAGGACCATATTATACTTCCTTTTTAGGTTATAACTTTAAAATAATAAGGATTTTAAAGATTTTGTCGCACTGTTGACGACTGTCGACAGACACACACCAGGCACGTCCTTACATATTAATAATTAAACAATTATAGAATGACAACCCGCCGCCGCGCTCTTCCTTTGGAACTCGTCTGATGATATCACGGAACGTCGGCGATCGTCTTTGACGTGACTTACGAAAATTGGACGTAAATCGACATTCTTTTCTGAATGTATTTATACATCAACAAATATAAAACTCGTATAAAATAATGATTTTTTTGTTCAATGTAAATGGGCATTCAAAATATGACTTTTAACGGGTGTCTCAGAAATAATTGTTCACTTAAGTAATTTCTTGTATGAAATCTATTTGACACATTTTGCCACGACGCGACGCTTTCCTGTGGGGTAGCAAGTGTCCTATTTTCAGGTTCGAATAGATTTCAGCATGGTTTTATTTGATAAAGAAAAGATTTTCATTATTTTAAAATAACAAATCTGGCACACCCTTTATTATTTTAACATCCTTTTTATGCTCGTAAGACGAAGGTTACGAAGCAATTTATTTGAGTAATCAAAATTTGTAATTTGATAAATCGTACCTTAGATGTACAAACATGTTCAAGTAATATATTGCAAAAAATTATAAATAATATACCTGATCTTTCAATGTTTAATTCATAAATTTATACTTTCATTTTGTGTTTGATTTACGACAAAGATTACACCATAAATTATTTCTGGAACATATATTTTTCGTCATGTTGAAAATTCTATTTTGTTGTTTAGCTACTTTAGCAGGTAAGTGTATTTTATTATACACAGACTAAAAAATATATAACTTATACTTTCAAAATAACCCATATTTTTAAATATTTCTTAAATTACACTTGTACAAATCAACACAATTCATTTTTCAGTCTCACTTGGTCAACGAAGACAGTCGCAACTCTACTTTAGTGCCTATGTATTGTACACAAAGTAAGTTCTTATATTGTCTGCTGTATTCTATTTTAAAAGTACCAAGACGTGATATTCGAATAATCAGACGTCTCACTTACACATACATTCATATTATTTACCTTATTTTAGAGATAATCCCAAGTCTGGTTTAAAAGTACTGGCAACCCCAGCGTCTGTCATCCCTCTCCCAATCAATAAGTGGACAAATTGCGCAATCATCGTGCATGGGTACCATGGCAAGGGATCTAACGACATGAACATGGTTTTACGAGATGGTATTATAATTTTTACGTACTAGTCGTCGAATTTCAAAAGAACTTAGAAGTGTTCTATATTTTACATTTGTCAATATGGACTGATGAAACTTAAGGAAAATTAACATTCTTACATTAGCGTCACAGCAAATTTATGAAAAGATCATGGCTCATGTTCTGACCCGATTAGTGGCTGTTTGGGTATATTAGTTTTATTGTGCAGTCATAAAACACTTTTCATTTTATGTAAAAAATATTGAAAATGTGCGGGGTTAACAGGACAGGACAATAAGGATTTGATATTAAATATATATTTAATTATGTGAAAACCCTAATGAGGTTATTGACAGACGTTCTGTCAAAATAAAGATCATTACACTAGTGCGCGAACCCTGCGCGGTCATTTACAGGAATAAGACCGAAATCGTTCTCTGGGTGATTAACAATAAATTCAAAACACAGAAATATTTTGCAGTAACGTACATTTTTTATATAAAAATACAAATTTTTATTTTATAATAAAGTACCCACAGTAAAGCAACATATACCATTGTAAATTACACATATTTTGTAGGTATGGTTTTTATACTTTGATGGACCATGATTTTAGTTTATAGTAAGAAGAATCGTGAGAAATATTGACAAACGTAACATTAATACGAGAAATAAAAATAATGGGAAATGAAACTATTTTTCCGAATTTAAATCGCTTATATTTGTTTTTGCAAACAAACCGACGTTTCGGGCCCTTTACAGGTCCCATGGTCACGGTTGACTCGGTTGGATGGGACCTGTAAAGGGCTCGAAACGTCGGTTTGTTTGAAAAAACAAATATACGCGATTTAAATCCGGAAAAATAGTTTGATTTCCTATGTGTAACAATCGCAAAAACCTAAGAACTCGATAAAAATGTTCTTGACAGTCGTCTTCATAAAGTCATAAGAGGCGTATACATTTGCTTTTGCCACCAGGAAAACAAAAATCCATTGTAGTAACCCGTTTAACTCTTGCAGTTTGTCATAATATTTAAAATATGTAAAATGTTAGAAATGGTAATTTTTTTAAAAATGTATACAAATGTTTATTTACAAAGAGCAACCCTTGGAGTTTCTTATTCATTAAATTCTATATTCATTCATTGCCTATAGTATATTCATTCATTGTTTAAAGTACCTATATATTCAGTGTTAAAATGTTGTTAACATTTTTAGCTTTTTTGACGGGTGGTAAAACTAACGTTATTGTTGTGGATTGGGCGGTGGCTGCTAGTAACCCACAAATAGCACCCGATGCCGTGCCTGCTATTGGAGAGAATATAGCAGAATTAGTAAAACACCTGGTCATGTTTGGTAAAATATCTAAAGCGAAACTTCACCTTGTCGGATTTGATTTGGGTGCTCACGTGGTTGGATGTGCTGGCAGACTTATAAGAGACGTTGCTAGGATTACCGGTGAGTGCAAAGTAGAAAAATATAATGGAAAAGTCTATAAACTTATAGACTCGATCTGTGGCTCAGTTGGCAAAGCGACGCTACGGTACTGCGTGGTCGCAGGTTCAAATCCTGTCAGGTCGAAGGAATTTTTCTTAGTATTAATAATTAGAAAAAATATACTTAATTCTTCATATCCCCTAAATAATTACTCTTTATAAGATAAGAGTTTGAGGAAGTAAGGCATCAATCATATTAATTTGATATATCAATTTCTCTAAGTGATCAATCGCTATCTTTTTCATATATATTTTTTGCACTTTTCTTTAAAGGTCTCAACCCGGTCGGTGGTGAGCAATGGATGTTGAGCAGAAGCCATCTCAGGTCTACCGATGCTAAATACGTTGAAGCAATACATACGGAAGTATCTGAAATCGGTCTTCCAGTTGCTGTAGGCGAAGTTGATTTCTTTCCAAATGGTGGCGTCAGACAACCAGGCTGTCAGAATATTGAATGTAGCCATAATCGTGCCTGGCAGCTGTTTGCAGCTTCTCTCACTAACGGTCCCATAATGGGCTACAGATGTAGTTCTGTTGATGAGGCGTTGAACCTTCAGGGTCCCTGTACAGGATATGCTCTGCCTTTGGGCAATAACGATCTTGTAAAACTTGGGTAAGATGCTCTCAATTTTGTTATGGTACTTGAATTTTGTCTATGACATTGATTATCTTTTATTCAGACTACAATGCAAAAAATAATTCTACTACATTAATTATAAGCGTTTGTTTTCACTTTCAAAGATGATTTTGATGAAAACATGAAATTTAATTGTTCGAAAAATGTTCAAACAAGATTACAAGTTGACCCGGGAAATCCAATTTTCCCTTATAAACTTTAGCACCCTGTTTATTCCCATATTAGTAACAGGTGGTTTAAAAAAACAACAGAAAACACGTGTTTTTATATTTGTTTTGAACTTCGAACAACATGGTGTAAAAGTTTCATGTTAATACCACCCACGGAATATGATTTCACCAAATAAAATTAAATTATTTTCACTCCATTAGAGAATTAATTACGAAAAATAAAATGGCGAGTTTCATCATATAACACAAAATATTAAGTGCTTTTATAACGGTTAATATTTATAGTTTTATTGAAATATAGTTTTCATTTTGACTGTAATATAAAGAAGTAATACGATATCACATGTCGTGGGTGTCCACTGGATGTATAACTACAGATTATTTAATTATTTTTTTTTAGATCTGGCGTGTACAGTCTCTCGACTTCGGCAGTATATCCGTATAGCATATCTGGATAATGCCCATCCCTGCCTTATACCAGCGTTTTATATGACAAATGACCGCAATCATAAATGATGTAATAATGTGACATAAGTCAATTGGTGTTATATTAAACTGCTATATAATTTAAACTTTCAATAAAACATCTTTGTTTGATCGACAAATCGTGTCGTGTTTAATGTACCTACTCTAATGAATGAAACGTTTTATTGGATATATACCTCCCAAGTAAGTTGTTGGAAGTCAAAATACCATTTTTTGCTTTTTTACCCTCCTATGTATACATATAAGGTATTATATTCATTTTATATTATTTTATCCTACCATTAACATGTGATACACGGGTCAATTCAAAACAACAAAAACGTTTATCAGGCGGCTTCGCTGGATGGGCCTAAGAGGGTGGCATGGGTCTACAAGGGTAGATTTAAAAGGTCGCAACCTAGTCAATAAAACATAAATTACATTCGTACAAAAATATGTTATTTTTCAACGTAATGTCAAGATCATCTACTTTCTAAAGTGTAGAAGAATACACTCTTTAAAAAAATCAAAGTCTTGTAAACATTGACTCTCTCAACTGCGACCTCTTCCGCTAAGAACTATTTTCACCTGCGCCCGCCGTGGTTATAGGACCTCAGCCTCCGTAGAATGCAGATATGTATATAAATATCCGGTAATCGCGGCGTCTGCGGGGTACTAGCAGAACCGCCCGGGATGCGGTCAAAACTAGACGGAGGAATTGTGGAAATCACAATCGCACATTTAAGCTACGAATTCCCTAGACAAAATTTTTTTCAATAATCAAAAGATAACAATCAAAATGCTTTGATTAAAATTTTATAGGACATTACAAAGTGATGTACCAGTTTGTAATCTTACTTATAATGACACAACATTTAAAGTAACAAAACAATTTACTTTTCATAATTTTCTGATAATCTACTTCTTTACCTTATACTAATATACACAAGGAACAAGGAAATGGGTAAAAACCTGAATCTTGGATAAAAAATAATCAAACCGGAATTTTTCATAGATATCCCGTTTGTAAAGGCGATACATTCTTATCAAAGGATTATAAAAAAAAAATTCTTATACGTCCGCAAGCAGTGTCTTGTTAGGTTTTCGATATCGAGATTTTTTTTCCAAAATTCTTAATATTATTTGACCTATTTTTTATAAAATTTGAAATTATAGCATTAAATTTTAAGCTATTTCACATACCTACACAGACTTACGTGTCCAAGCTTGAGTATTCCCAGCCAGTCTTACGAGAGCTGCCAGCAAGTGTAGAGGGCGTATAACATCAGACAGAAGCAAACATAGCATATGGTCATATAAAAATACAAGTCAGAACGTGAAACTGATTTTCGTTTATAGAGAGTCGTAAATCGTTTGAAATGGTTCATATAATATGAGTCGCCTTTGTTATGAACATTAGCGGAATCAGTAGCACAGACGAGAGAACTTTTTTAGGAGCAATAGAGCTCCTTGTGAAAGAGTTCGGCCAGGGAAGTACTGCCACCTTACCCATTTCTGTCGCCAAGCAATGATGTGAGCATTACTGCGTTCCGATTTTGAAGGGTAGGGGTGCTGGTGAAATTATAGACACATGCGACTTGTCAACGTATGTAGGGTGACGGGCGCAATGGCAGTGCTCCTCCGATCTTTGCGGTTTAAAGCTCAAAGTGACAACTTTTATGGACAGGCGTGTAGCTTACCATTAGGTTCGCGACTTGTTTTTCCCGTCATTTGACATCATAAGAAAAAACCGACTTTATTTCTAGTAAAAATGAAAATATACCGAAAGTGTTTAAATGGAAAAAGAATATTTTTAAGCGTGGTTGTGTAAGTATCCCAGAGAATTTACGGAATAAGGTCTGGAAACGAGCAGCCTTGATTGATTCGAGTGAGGAACGGATAGGAAGAATGCGATCAAAACAGAAACGCAGTTTTGATAAGATAGCTAGAGTTGCTTTATCTTCCAAGAAATATGGTAATATGAGGAAATTAGGTCTGGTAGGCAAAATCTCTGGTAGGCACGATCTTGTTCACGTAAATAGCTGGCCCTTCCATATACAATGCAATCGCGTACCTCTTTTGCACATCTGACCAATTATTTACTATGCTGATCGCCTCAAACTGATTTACAAATTCGTCAACGTCATCTAAGCCAGAAAACTTTTGCGCTGCGATATAATGCATATTATTTCTTGCACTTTTGACTAGTTTAACGAGAAAAATGAGTAAATGTTGCACAAAATAAAAATTACGACCTTTCAAATATGTTTCTTCTTCCTTCCTTCGGAGATATTTCTATAAAATTTTTCCAAATCGGAATTTCCACCACTTGTGAAGCGCTTCCACCACGTATAACGAGGTACGTAGCTTGGATTAATGTACAGGCACTTTTTAAATATAAAACAGGACTATATTCATGAATAAATATTTATTATGTATTTTCAGATCGAGGCCTGTTCTGTAACCACCAAGATGTTCTTTTTTCATCCTATTTTTTATACTATTCCAAACACAAACCTACATTCATTCAGCCAGTATTTCTAATCATACTGCCTAGTCTATAGTACCTTGCATATGCGCTCAATTTTGCGGTCCATTTACTAAGTGTTATATTAAATGAGGATACGCGGACGACTACTATTCAAGTTGTTACGGATTGAACCTGGACAATCCGTGTCTGAGTTGCCTCAGCATGATAAGAAGCTAGCCGTGGCCTCCTAACTTCGGTCGGGGAATGACACTGATACGATCAACTAATATACATAAATAGTTAGATAAAAAGTTTATTAGGGTCTACATATATACGTACATAACAGAAAAATATGTAATTTATTAAAAAAAGAAACAAAACAGCAGAGTCATGGCGCTGCCTGATAACCAATTATTTATGTGTGCTATAGCAGTTTGTACTTACAGTGTTTACTTAAGAGTAAACAGCTGATTTTCAACTACAACCTAGAGGGTGCCGCGGATGTAATAACCAGCTTGCTAACGCCTTGTTGAACATTAATTTAAGCAAATAGTTTCGATAGTAAGTAAATATAACAACATATAATATATAATAATAATATAATTAAAACTGTAAATTGAAATTGTATGTGAATATTACATAAAAGTCAAATTAATTATAAATAGGTAAATCATGTTGTTATCACACAATGTTATATAGCCAGTTTTCGCAAAGCGCTGTGAAATATCTTTTTTTGACTGTCTAGAACTAGGTTTCTTAACCTTTTTCTAGTCATGGACCCCTTTCAAAATTTCAAAATGCCCACGGACCCTTCCGGAAAATATGAAGAAAAAGAAAGGCTCGCGGGTTGCATTGACGCGCCTCTCGCTCGCGAAACTACGAAAATTCAAAAAGGTCACGAGTGCAGTACATAACGTATTGTATATATATATATATAGGGATCCATGGAGCACAGGTTAAGAAACCCTGGTCTAGAAGTAATGCCTTTGCCTTTTCCTTGAAAGTGTATTTAGATTTTAGAAGTCTGAATGGGTGGGATATTATTCCAACACTTTGTCGCGTGGTAGCGAAAACTGCCGGTGTGAATGCGGGGGTGCGATTCGTAATACAACAAATGTCAAATTTTTAGTGGATATAACGCTCAATAGATATAATTAATTTACCGTATACAGACATTTGAAATATTTTAGCATGATATTAAGGTCACTGGGTATAATAGACGATTGATATAATAACTTTCAGTCTAATATACCGATGACATAATTTTCATTTTATATAAACACTTCAGATATAACATTCACTGAGTATAAAGTTGAATGTGTATGTGTGAAAAAACAATTCCAGTGGTGTGTCGCGTACGATCGCGGTTGACAGCTACTGGTGAATGCCTATATTTTTTCTGAACGGAATGCTAAAAATGGTAATACGGAGGGAGGAATGGGGAGAAGGATGAATGTTTTAAGAGGAAAAGAACATTGGAGAAAAAAGAGATTGGTTTTGGAGTAGAGAACAGGTGAGAGGAACTGTAGTTAGTGCGAAGCAGATGGTAAAGTGTTTTCTAATCTGGTGAGTGTTTGTGCTAATAAAGAGATATAGTAATGTTGAGATATAGATGAAAAGATTATTGTGTCTCGCTGGAGATTTGGGTTGATGGGTTGATGATTGGGAAGGTGGAGGATTATCATGGGGCCTCAGGACCCCGCCTTCTGTGCGTCGCTCTTGGCAACAGGTGTACCCGTCGGATGAGAGGATCCTACCACCATGTGGCTCTCGGGTTTATTTGTGGAGTCGGTCGAGACACGCAGAAGGTTTAACGATAATTGTAGTATGTATTAGCGCAATTATAAATTCCTATATCTCTATGTTATCATATTATCAAGCATGAGACTTTGTCGCATATGAGAATTGACATTACATTGAACCAAGGCTACCCGACATCATGACAAAACATGTAGGGTATAAAACGTGGCGACACCAGTGGTGTCTAGGTGCAACAGTGAATGAACCGATTTATTTTTTGCATTTCCTGGTTGGTTCGACCTACGCCTGTGGGTTTAGGTTAGGTTAGTATATGATAAGGCTGCCAGAATCGAATTTGTTTGCATTTGGTGTTGGTTCGACCTCCTCCTGTAGGTTTAGGTTAGGTTAGTATATGACAAAGCTGCCAGAATCGAATTTGTTTGCTTTTGCTAGTTGGTTCGACCTCCTCCTGTGGGTTTAGGTTAGGTTAGTTAGTTAGGAGCATTTTGCTCTTTATAGCTTTATCTGTAGAAAAACTTTGGAATAGGAAAGATTATTTTTACTTGCTTTAGTATAGTTGATCTTGTAGAAAAATATTCACTCCTACGAAGCTTTTATGATTGTCTACAAAACGCGATGATTCTAAGCGACTTTTTCTTTTGACAGTATTACAAAACCTTTATAAGGAGTAAAAGTTCTACAACTTTGTAGGTTCGAATCCGGCCGGATCGAAGGATTTTTTTCTGAGTGTTCGATCTTTGTATTAATAATTATAACAAACTAGTGGAGTGATTTCACAAAAAAAATGAATACCAATTCAATAACAATTTAAAATACAGTGAATAGCGACATCTCTCATCTAACTGGGTGATAAAACTTTTATATATTTCTCATAGATGGCACTACGACTAAAAAGTCGTAGAAAAACCAAATACAAAGACACGACAACAAGCACATAGAAAAATTCGTGAGGTCCGCTGGTTCGTTCCGTGGCTTTGTTGGTATAGTGTCTGGCACGGTATGCTAGAAGACGTCGGTTCGAATCCGGCTGGATCGCATGAATTTTTTCTGAGTGTTCGACCTTTGTAGTAATAATTATAACAAACTAGTGGAGTAATTTCACAAAAAAAAATTAATATCAATTCAATATAAATTTAAAATTCAATTTGTCGCAAAAAACGTTATTCTGTATAATTATATGGAATGTGATAAATATGACTAGAAAGGTGAGTAAATTCCCTATCAAACAAGGTATATTTCAATGACATACCTAACTTATGTTGGAAGAAATACAATTTTCATTAGAAAATTGAGGTTATTTCTTCACGCCAACCACATTTCATGCAAAATGGATATAGTATAAAGAATATTAAAAGATATGGTGTAGGTGGTGAATCTTGGATATTATGTCTAGAGATGAGATTAACTGCTATATTAGCATAGCGCGCTAAATGCTAAATTTTTATAGCGCGCTGTTTAAACTGCTAAAATTATAATTTTTAACAGCTCAAGGTCGTGTGATAATGTAACAAATGGAAAATTTAAACCGGATTCAACCCTAGTTTGCCACCCTCACAGGTGGAATATTTTCTTGTCTTGTCTCTTAATTTAAATAAAACCAATACTGAGGTACCCTCTTTCCAACAAAAAATAATCATCGAAATCGGTTCACAAATGCCGCAGTAATAGCGTGGTATACACACAAAAAAGTGCAGTCGAATTGAGAACCTCCTCCTTTATTTTGAAGTTGGTTAATTATAACAACAAACTAATTCTGTACTTTCACACAAAATGTCTAAATAAATAATATAATATTAAGTTTATTGAAAATCAAAATGTTTTACTACTACTTTTGTTGCTTGTATAATTATTGATACAAAGATCGACAAGAAAAAAAATGTTTCGATCCGACTGGACACGAACTAGCAACCTCGCCATATCGTGGTTGAGCCACTATATTTTTTATATTTTATAACCAATATATATTTTATCTACACACATATCATAAACTCTCAATACTGTGCTCAAAAACCGCAAATTTTTTGTCTTAAAATTTATAATAAAGTATAGTTGTAAGTCAATGATAAAGTTAAACAAATTTCTTATCTGTCAAAATATTATTATTATTTCATAGTAACATCGAATTCAATGTTATTATTACATTCAGATTTCGAACATCTCTGAAAAACAAAACAATTTGATTGAACCTCAATTCTAATATCAGTCGAGATGAAGTTTTATTCGAAATGAAATGTCAATAGCAAACGCATCACGCGACTTTTCATTTGGTCAAGTATTACTTATTTGGCAGTAATTGTTTCGGACGGATGTCGGACGGAGATCGAGAGTAGACCCTCTGAACATATCACAGGGTGCTTATAATATATGTGTAAATAAAGCAGTGTATGTAACTGTACATAATTAGGCATTAAAACACTCGTGAGATCGCTCGCTCGCCTGTCGGCTCGTTTCATAAACCCTCACTCGTAATTAAATGCCCTTCATTATGTAACAGTCACATTAACTACTATTATTTAATCATAATTTCATTATTTCCGCACTATCTCGATTTGTAGGAAGATCAATATTACACCTAGCTTGTTGATTTCAATTTACTTCTGAAAAAAACGGGCAGGGTGAAATAGAGATGTCTTAGCATTTAGTAATTGTAGTCGTGATAACAAACAACTTACAACAAATACATTTTTTGTTTCAATCTGTACAATACACATTTATATACATGGCATGTAATCATAAATTTGTATGAGTTGCATGTACGAAGAGAACAGGCACATCAAATTATTATTGTAAAGGGTGCCTCACAATTATTTACATTTTTTCAGTCTATTTCCGGTTGAACGATCATAAAAATATTGTATTATAATATTAAAACCACACCATCCACCACTTATGCGAAAGGAACACATGTATTTTGCGTTCTTGTTACATGGAAATAAAGATTTTTGTGACCGGCTTATGAGATTATTATGGAAATGCATTAAATAGTAACGATGATTTAATGATGTTTAGCATGAAGGAAAATTAAATTAAATGAAAATTATAATACAAATTTTTTTATAATTTTATGAGTAGGCTTTGGAATTTTTATTATTTGACATACATTGCAAGATAAATTGCAAAAACAAGCAACTGAAAAAATATGTTAATGAAAAATTAAATGAAATAAAATGTTAGATACATTGACATCAAAATATTTACATGTTTACACTTAAGCGTCAATCTATAAAGATACAAAGGACAAACAAACATTACAAGTTTAAATATTAGAACTGCTAACCTATCGCAAATACGAATTACATTTATCCGAATTTCATAAAGAATGAAAAAATCCGTTTTTTCATAAATGCAATTGCTTAAATTGTTTTAGCATTAATTTGTAATACAGAAATAATCTCCAATCGAAGTATCGTTTTTCCGGAATTAATTACACATAAATATTCCTTTAGCAGGTTTTGGTCATAATTTTCTTAGTGTGTGTTTTGCATATATATTGTATATTACTGAATATTCGTTTCAATAAAAATTTTTAGATTAAATTGTGCCTCAAATAAACGATGTCTTATGGGTATCATAACATAAATAAAAATAAATAAAGCTCAATAAAAACGGAACGTTGGCGGAAAGAGAATCGGAAAACGGATCACTTGTCAATGTGGCAAAATAATGAAACATCAAATGGCATAAGAAAATTAACGTGTTTTCGAACAAACGAAACTAAATCTGATCAGTAGTCGACGAACGATTTTCGGAACATACAAGTATTGTAAAACATATTTCTAAATTATTGTAGAGCTAGACTAAATTAATAAACTAGGGTCTCCGAGTCATATTCACTAAAATGCTTGTGGCCGGGTTTTGGCCAAGGGTATTGCGTAATTAAATAGAAGGTTCGGTCCACATAAATTTATTGTAGAAATAAAGATAGAGAAGGTACAGGAAGAGAAAAGACAAGGCTGTGACAAAGTATGATATGAAAAACACGTACAATAGTACAAAACACTCCCTTACCACGGATTAACATTTAACTTAAGTGAACTTACCCCAAAAGGGACTGCATTCGTACAAATACTGATGTTTTATAAGTATTCAGGTTACATGATTTTCAATGGCATAACTGATCGCTTCGGAAATTTAGTAGAGAGTGGCGATGGAAAGAAAAGTAAGAGTGACAAAGAAAAGAAATTAGAGAAGAATTCAAAATTTCAAAAGTAAGTGGCCAGGAACCCGAGAGAAGGGTGATAAGAAGGTGGAGTGACGATAGAGTAGGTCGAATCGTCACATGCTGGTAGCATTTCTTCTCTACGTATACTCATACAGAGTTTAAAATCTTGGGCAGGGTAGCTGCCATCCATCCATCCATGAAGTCCAATAACTCCACGAGACTGAAGATTACCAAAACAGCTTTTGCATCAATTTTCTTTTTAAAACCGTTTTATTTATTAACAACTTTTTTTAAGCGTTATTTCTCCTTCCATTGAATTTAAGACTAAATATTTTAATAAACGTGATAAATATCCTTTTGTATAACACAGAAATTATCTGAATCAGCAGCGGAACTTAATGCTCCATACACACAAATTACTTTTGCATGAAAAAGATATTTCGCTTCGTTCGAACCACCATCACTTATGCGAAAGGCACAAGCGTCTTTTACGCTCTTGTCATGTAACAAGAGCGCAAAAGACGTTTGTGCCAAACAAAGATTTTTGTGACCGGCTTAATATGATTCCGTGTCGATAAGTATGGTGTCTTCCTTATTATACAATTACTGCTCATGGAATGCATTAAATAGGAATGATGATTTAATGATGTTTAGCATGAAGGAAATCTTAAAAGATTTAAAAAAACCAACGACTTCAGTCTATAGACACGAACATCCACAGCAACTACATGTTCCGAACAAAACACTACCAATAGTGATAGTGTTTTGTTTTAAAGATTAGCAGTGCCGTAGTACCTTTACATATGTGACAGTCCTATAGGGAATGAGCTAGGTATGCGGATAATGTTGAGTGTTTACCAATGATATTATACATAGTTGGGGAATTAACGTAAAGCCCCTGGCAAAGTCGTTATTAGTTGCATACATTTCATTTTGCTTTGACCCAGGGGGCGCCGCTTACTATTTATAATTTATTATATTACTAAAAAGAATACTACTACTATATATTACGAAATTTATAAAAGAAAAAAACAGCCTTTATTTTTAACACATAATAATATATTCAACACAAGACGCAGAGCAAATGGAGAAGTGATCTGCGGCAATAGAAATTTAGCCTTAACTTTAAATAAAACAATGTTAATTTTTTCGGATTTATATCGCGTATATTCGGTTTTTCAAACAAACCAAAATTTCGGGTCCTTTATAGGTCCCATGATCACGGTTGACTGTTAATTAATAACTTGTATAACTATAGTGAACAAATAGGGTCGTTTGCATTAATATTAAACATAACTGGTTGATGACTGTACCACCTCGTCAAACGTGACCATGGGACCTGTAAAGGGCCAGAAACGTTGGTTTGTTTGAAAAAAACTAATATATACGCGATTTAAATCCGGAAAAACAGTTTCATTTCCTACGTGTAACAATCGCGAAAACCTCTCTCGAAATGTTAATTTTCCTAAAAAAAATATAGATTAGTCTGAATTATTGACAAAATAATATAAAAACACTGGTATAAATTATTAATTATTATACTTTTTGAAACTCTTCGAATTAATCTAGATCAGCATTTTGATAACAATTAGATGTACATGTTTCTACGAGAGTATATATCAATCAAATTTAGGTACATTCATAACATATTTAAGACATTATTTCGTAATGTTTAAATTTCTGGTAATTTGTTACGCTGCCTTAACGGGTGAGTATATTTATTATTATTAATAAATATAGTGTAGTAATGGTCGAAGGATTTGAAAGCCTTTTATTGCGACCCTATTATGAAATGTGTATTTTAGAATAAGAAATTTCATTATACCTATAATTCCACTTGCAGTTTCACTCGGTGCACGAAAATCGTCGCAACTCTACACTAGTACGTACATGTTGTATACAAAGTAAGTGTTATTGGGTTCAAATTTGGCATTCTCTGGAAAATTAAGAAGAAGATGACTATTAGATTATCTATCTATTTATTCACAATACAACGCGTGCATCTCATATCCTGACCGCAAAGGTTAAATGCTGTGCATGTGTGATCCATCTATAATAATATCATTTCTTTTTAGAGACAATTATAAATCTGGTAAAAAAGTAGAAGCAAACCGTGACTCGGTCGGTCCTCTACCAATTAATGCGATGACAGATTGCGCAATTATTGTACACGGCCACGGTGGCAGCGGATCTCACTCTATGAGCACGGTCTTGCGTGATGGTATTATGTTCTTACCTATTCTCTTACAAACTAACACCCTTACCTATTTCTGCCGATAAGCAGTAATGTCAGCATTACTGTATTTCGGTTTTGGTAAAATTATAGACACATGGGACTCGTCTACTTATGCCTGAGGGTGACGGGCGCAGTGGCAGTGTCTCTCAGATCTTTGCGATTTAAAGCTCTGAGTTGCACTGTAACCGTTAAGGACAGGCGTGCAGCTTACCATCAGGCGCACGACTTGTTCGCCCCGTCACTTGATATTACAACAAGTCGTGAACCTGGTGGTAAGGGACACGCCTACCCATAACAGTTGCGGTGACAATCAGAGCTTTAAGTCGCAAATATTTAAGGGCCACCGCCACTGCACCCGCCACCCTGTGTCATAAAGTTGACAAATCCTATGCGACTATAGCTTCACTAGCACCCCAAACCGGGAAGCAATGGTCACATTATTACTTGGCGGCATGAGTTAGTTGTTGTATATTAAATGTTAAAACATACCTACAATGCCAACTAATGTTTCAGCTTTTCTGACAAATGGAACAACAAACGTTATTGTTGTGGATTGGGCGATAGCGGCTAGTGTAAAAGAGTATGCCTTGGCGGCCGTGCCTGCTGTTGGAGAAAATATAATAGAATTGTTGAAACTGTTGGTAAAGCACGGTAAAATAAGCGTAGCGAAACTTCACCTTGTCGGATTCGACGTAGGAGCTCACGTTGTTGGTTGTGTTGGCAGAGGCTTAAAAGGCATTGCTAGAATTACCGGTACGTATAAAGGCAAATTAACGTAATCATGCATTATACGAATATTATGTAGTTGGCCTTGTTTCACTTGTAACTTGCAGTATTTAGAGATGGGCGTTTAAACGAAGAGCTCTCAAATAAGTTTGCCTTTTAGCACGCTCATAATTTTATAACATAGGCGTGGCTCACTTTAATACTCAACAATTTCATTTCTTACGACCTGTCTAAGTATTAAGTCCCGTCATCTATATTTCCTAAGCAAATTAATCTCATCAATGTGAATAATAATATTATAAATAAAAATAAAACTCTTATTTTACAAATGAACTTACTTATCTTAAAACATTTAGTGGTCTACTTTCACTTTTCGCTGTCAATTTTGTAAACTTGAAGCTACAAAGCATTTAAGTGAAAAGCGTTTTTATAAACACTTAAAATTAATAAACAGTTTTTTCCATCTCTATTCTTTTTACAAAGTTTTACACCATGGCACTGTTTAGACTTAGCCTGAAGACTGCATTACAGTTTTTTTTTTTAATCTATCATCGTACCATGGCCATTGTTTAAAAGTTTTCTCCGTATTATGTACTCCTGTCCCATATATATTTTAATTATAAAGTAAATTCTATTGTGTATGGAATTACGACTATTTCTTTTTTAAAGCTCTCAATCCGATCGGTGGTGGTCGGGAATGGGTGTTGAGCGGATACCATGTCAGGCCTGAAGATGCACTGTATGTTGAAGTCATACACACAGAAGTGTCAGAAATCGGTATACCGTCTGCTTTAGGTGACGTTGATTTCTATCCACATGGCGGTATCAGGCAACCTGGTTGTGGGGATATAGAATGTAGCCATAATCGTGCCTGGCAGCTGTTTGCGGCTTCTCTCACTCACGGTGGCATTATGGGCCACAGATGTGACAATGTTGACGAGGCGATAGACACTCGGAAACCCTGTACAGGTTTTACTTTGGCAATGGGAAATAATGAGCTTGTTAAATACGGGTAAGATTATTTTAATTAGATTTATAATGTATTTTTATAAATAATAAATAAATAAACTATCATCCATTCGCTTAAAATAAGGTTCCTACTTTATAAATGTTGGTGATAGCTTTAAACAGGAGCATATAAATATACAACACATTACGAAATTAATTCAAGTAAAATTATATATAGTATATAGTATATTACCCTGATGATTGTATGGCCATCTACCTACCGCCTCTCAAACAGAGGTGGTCATTTAGAATCCAGGCTCGCTGTTTGTAGTGAGCTCGCCGCTGAGTTTTTCGAAAATTATGTGTGTTTAATTTGAAATTTACCATGTGCTTTTCAATGAAGGAAAACTTCCTGATGAAACCTGCACCCGTGCTCTCCAGTAGGACGTAAAAATGGGTTGATGATTTTAAAGCTTAATATATGCATTGATATTTGAAAAAATCTTCAATCGACTTAGAATAAATATTCTAAAAACAGTGCGCACTGCTCTTTTTTAAATTCGGCCAAATGTAGGAGTTTAAGCTTTAGGCCGGGGCCGTACTGGTACGGCGACAGCGAGGCGGCGGCGACGCGAAAAAATAGGTGGCCGCATTGCAAAAGCGAGAAACCAGCGAAACGCCAATGGGTGGCCGCAGTGGGCAGGTTAGGCGATCAGTGGCGGCGGCACTGACGGTGCACTCTATACGAGTCGCAAGTCGTGACAAATCGCCGTGTCGCACCGCTGCTTGTCGTACGAAATTCAAGTGTCGCCGCGAGTCGCAGAATAATTTTATTTAATGCGGTCACCCTCACTACTTGTAGAACATTTGACATTTCTTTACGATATGAACAAATAAATTTCGCTTGTCCTTTCTACAGTGCGGCCACCGACATATGTTTTATATGAGTTTGTTTTCACGAAATCGCCGTTGCGTCGCAGTCGCCTTAGTAGTGAGGCCGCGGCCTTAAGAGGTAAAACAGCGTAGTCTTTTATAACATAAATTTAATTTATATCAATTTAAGACATTGACTGTTTGACTTAGTTAAAATTGGCTATCTATCATAAGCTGCTGTTTAATCCATAATAACACGAATCTATTTAGGTTTAAGAATGTAAAGTAAAAAAACTACGCTTAAAACTTTTGTGCCTAATAAATAAATTTAAAAAGTTTCGCTGGCACCAGCTGCTGTTAATAAACAATTTCTCTTTTTAGATCTGGTGCATTCACTGTCCATACTAACGCATTATACCCATACCGCTGTAAAATCAAATGTGGATTTGTCGACAGAGTCTTAGAAACTATTGTAGCGATGGTCTTTGGTCTCCAAAAAGTTGATACCGTCTTCAAACCATAAATAAATTTAAATAAACAATGTGTTATAACCACCAGTTAATCACTCGTCAATCAATCACTCAGCGTAAGAGCTTCCAACACATGCTCTACCGACGGATAATTATCCTAGTCCAATTGGTCAAGAAAATAACAGATACATCTGTTTCTTGTCTAGCAAACTATTTCATGCCTACCAAAATCCCACTGAACTAATTTTAAAACAAATTTAAGAGTCGTTACAACCGTATATGGCGATCACTTTGGAAAAAATAAATAGTCAAATTGAGAAAAAAGAGAAAAAAATTCATAAAAATTTTCACGATAGAAAAAAAACACAAACTTACCTTGAAATTTTACAAGAAAACCAGGTACTTTACACATACTAATATTTCTTTTTATATCAACTGAACTAAATAGTGCACGTATAGTATACGATATATATTTTTGAAATGGCTTTAATTTCGTTTGTAAAAACAATAGTTCTGAAATAAAGCCGGTGTCCCTGCCAGTCGACCCCCACGATAGATAGATAGATAGAAAAAGATTCAGTACAGGGAAAATTTTAATTCGGGCTGAGGTAGTATCAACTCTTAAGAAGTTTGTTCTCTACCAGCAAAATTTAATTAGTGGATTTTTTCGGCTTCTTTAGGAATGAATATTATTTACTTATTTACATGCATACAAATTACATCACCTGTTAATTCTGGTGTTAGCTTTACTTATGGTGCTGGGTGTGGAATACACTGCGAGGCACTATCTCATTAAAAAAAAACACTATGTATAACTGTAAGTATTCCATTTTGATGACGTGTCCAGAAGGCGCCAGAGGGCGCCACCACGGATTTCCGGTTGCTACTCTATTTTACTTCTTCCAATCTCACCATGTGAGCATACGCGTAATATTATGTTGCATAAACACGTTGTCAAAAAATAGTCCATTTATATTAATTTTATTATCATTTAGCAGTATAGTAGATACACTAAACCTATAAAATTTAAAATTCAGTTTTTAGTATCGTGTATTTCTTTCATATACAATATTTTGCTTCAGTTAATAAATGGTATTGACGTGAATATGATTTTTTTTATACCTAACCTCGCAACATCTTCAGTGCACTTTTAGTACACACTTTACACTTTCTTGTACGAATGATCGATTCGGGTAGCCTTAGAAGTCTACTGTTTCGAAAATGGGGCGACAAACGCCGAGTTCTACAGGGTTTAATACTGCCCGCAACTGTTTTTCGGCATCGCAATGTATCGTACCGACACCTGACCATCACTAGCCAGGTACTTGGAATGGATCAGCCGTTTATTATGAACTTTGGCAGATACATTGAATCTATGGCCAAAAATACAACCGTGAAGCGTTATATCTTTTCCAAGGCGAAGCTTTACTTCACATAGGAACAGCTACTACAGTTGTAACAAGCACAAGTTTGGCCGTGTACTACGCGTGTGCTAGATACCAACATGCTACCATTAATTTTTTTATAATATCAAGTGATGGGACGAACGAGTCGTGTGAGTGGTGGTAAGCTACGTGCCTGTCCATAACGTTGCAGTGCCACTCAGAGTTTTAAATCGTAAAGATCTGAGGGGCACAGCCAATACGCTTGTCATAAATTGACAGGTCCCGTGTGCCTGTAATTTTACCAGTACCCTTACATTACTGCTAGGTGGCAGAAACAGATAAAGTGGTAACATCCCTGGACGAACTCTTTCACAAGGAGCTCTACTGCCACTAAATTCCATTGAAAAACAAGCCATGAGGCTTATCTGTGACTGGAATTCAGTAGCGAAGCTGCAGAGCCTTGAACATCTCCGCAAAGTTTCCTGCTTTTATTTAATCTACGTGATATATCACAACGTGTGTGCTAAGGAATTACATGAATTAATTGTTAAATCCCTATTGTGGAACTTACTTACTTGACTTAGTCATCAAAGTTCTGGATATTCCAAGAATTTGCAGGAAGTGTTACGCTCCCATTCTTATATGGCATATTACTATGGTTTGGAAAACTCTGCCTGCAGACTTTTTCCCTGAACGCTATAACTTGAGCCTTTTCAACGCGAGAGTAAAACTTCAGCATTAGGTATTTTCCACTAAGTGAGATAGAGGTCAAATGCACCCTTTTTTTAATCAGCATTAAAATACTATAAATATCGTAAAACGTATTATTTCTATGGAACTATTTGAATAGAAGTAAAACAAGAACAACAACAACGACAACGGCAGCGGCAGCGGCAGCGACAGCGACAGCGACGACGACGACGACGATGTAATATTCATTTTGTTTCAACATGGTATACTCTAAAATCCTAATGTAACTAACTGGTTTGCTACTACTTTTACGGCTAGACACTCGCTCCGCGTATGATTATAATAAACGGGCTACATTTAAAACACAGTGAAATTGCGAAGTGTTTAGAAGTCCATTGTGATTTAATATTATATTAATATTTGTATGTAATGTAGTGTACAATGTACAAATCTTACAACGTTCTTTGTCCACAATGTTACCTAATGTGAACGATGTAGTCAACGATGTTATGCGTTTTTTAGTATTATAGTCTAGCCTTAAATAGCACTAAATTGTAACATTTTCTAAAATGTCAAACGACGGGACGAACAAGTCATGCGAGCGACACGCCTTTCCATGACAGTTGCAGTGTACTTCCCATGTGTAACGTCCTATGTCACGGTTAGAAATATCAACGGTAATGAATTATTTCAACTGTAATCAGTATGGAATACCAAACATTGTCATTATGACGTTATCAAAATGTCTAATTAAATGATAAAATTCAGAAACACGTACATGTAAAATTTTACATCCGCTAAATGTTAAGAGATAATCATCTTATCGATATTTCATGATCTATATTTTTTAATCATTTTTGCACCATGATCATACGATATGGGAAAAGTACATTTAATTATCTCAGCCTTTAAATAGAAGAGTATTGGGGTGATAAATACACAGTCTTCATAAAGTTTTGCAGAACAGGTGATCGTCTTTGAAAGAATGTTTAAAATTCTTCTAATATTCGCCGCTGCGATAGCAGGTAATAATTACTTCTAAAAAATAATTTAAAATTAATTTAAATTTAAAATCTATATAATAATTATTTTTTTAAATATTTTTTAAATTATTATTATTTTTTAAAGTATATTTACTATTTAATTATTGACAGAACTGAACGTGAACTGTTTCTGACATGTTCTGTGGATGATAACAGTTTTCATTATTTGATTCTTTCTCGTTAAAAAGTCATTGATAATGCTGAAGGTAGGAAGAAGGTAACAAAAAAAAACAATTTAAGTATCTTCTATGATTCTAAAAGTTTTATTAAAACATATTCAAATATGTAACATTCAAATGGACAGTTATTTGTCCTTAGATATCTAGTTAATAAATAGTAGCAATAGCGCTTCTTGTGAAAGAGGAAGTACTGCCACCTTAACTCTGGTTTCCTACAAAACGCATATATCTTTCGCCTTTACTTGCCACCTTACCACGCTCTGGTTTTGAAGGGCAATGGTGCTGGTGAAATTACCAGCATATTGGACTTGTCAACTTATTTATCCGGGTGGCGGGCGCATTGGCACTGACTTTCGGGTCTTTGTGATTTAAAGCTTTGAGTGGCACTGCAACTGCTATGGACAGGTGTGTCGCTTACCACCAGAAACTGTCATTTCGTATCGTAAAAAATAGCACGGTTCGTTTGAATATTGCTATTCACTCTGAAATCAGAAAAAGTCATTTCAATTTTATTCAAAGAAGTGCGTAAAACAAACATTCTTTGTTTCAGCATCCCACGGTGACCCACTAACGAGTCGTCAGCGAAACATTTTCCCCAGTACATTTTCACTGTATACAAAGTAAGTTGCATAGTATTAGGTTTACGGTGTAACGCAATTCTGGGTAAAACTACTTACTACGGCCTCTAGGCCATGTAACTACCCACAATCGTGTTTTATGTTTTATTTATTAAATTGAATCGAGACTTGGTTAAAGTTTTGAAAGTCGCTTCTTACCCGGTTTTTTACGGATCCCTAGCAACTTTAAACTACAGATACAACGTGAGTGGCCCGCGAGAACGTGTGAATGTGTGCGTTCGTACAAGCGCGCGCGGCGGCTATATTTGCATTGAGTTTCCGTAGTTGTCGTATTACTATGCTGATACATTCGATCACTTTGTAATTAACTGTTTCGTTACTTAAAAATATTACAAATGTCAAATATAATGTATACTAATACTTTATAACGAGTGGCACTACACAGTAAAACCAAAATTGGTTTTTGTGACAGCATACAATAACATAAATATAAATTTAGTTATTTTTTAGTTATTGAATATCACGATGTTTGATCACCATGATATTCAATTATTTTTGTGAAATTACTCCACTAGCTTGTTATAATTATTAATACAAAGATCGAACGTTTAGAAAAAATCCTTCGATCCGACTGGATTCAAACCAGCGTCTTCCAGCAAACCAAGACGCTTATTGGCATCGCTTAGTTGGCATACCAACTAAGCCACGGAATGAACTACGGGACCTTACGAATTTTTTGCTTTGTTTTTGTTTTTTTGCTTTGTTTTTGGTTTTTGGTTCTCTTATTTCATATCTCACAGATATGAAATAAGAGAAATGTGAACAAATAGATTAGTCAGCTGGAATTAAAAATCGGTAACAAAGATCTGCAACAAACACATAGAAAAATTTGTAAGGTCCGCTAGTAAGTTCCGTGGCTTAGTTAGCATAGCCTCTGACAGGGTTTGCAGAAAGACGTTGGTTCGAATTTTTTCTAAGCGTTCGATCTTTGTATTAATAATTATAAATTTTGTTGTTTTTGAATAAATAAATAAAAATACAGTAGGAATAGAATCGGTCTTTTCACATTTCCTTGGGGAACACTATGTGTATGATTTCATTTTATTTTGTAGACTATAATCCATGGTTAACTGTTTGCCAAATAGGACACTGTCCAACGTAAAATGAACCCTCTTGTACCTACCTGTTCTTTCTAATTTCTTTAGAAGCAAATTATGTCAGGTATGTCCAAAAGTGCTATTAATATTCGACGACCGCCTTGGACGACTGGCTTGCACACCGGTTTTCATGGTGTCGCTATCTCTACTGGTTAATGTATACCTACTTTTCTATATTGTTTCGGGTCTGGGTGATTGTGGTACCATCGTTGTTACCGATGGCAATAACACAAGTTCTTTAGTTACTCGTGTTAGCGTGCTGTTATTTAACAATCTATCAATATTATTTAGTAGTCATTTTATAGGAGTATATATTGATAACGTTGTAGATTTCTCTTTTTGGAAGCCAAATTGCTCTGGTTTTATAATAATGAACTTATCACAAACATCCCTGGTGCGCATGGTGCGGGTGAGACAAAACAGTATCCTAAGGACATTTACTGAATTCTTTGACTGTGAATACATGAACCATTGTTACATGGTGCATCTATTGACTAAATCTAAATAATTAATTGTAAATTTATTTTATTTTATTTATATTATTTATTTATAATTTTGTACTTAATTTTATGTTTGACTTTAATTGTATTAAATCCTGTAATGTATGATCCATGTTGGTCGAAATAAATGATTTATTATTATTATTAAAAGTTACTTTTCGAATGCTTTTGAAAAAATATATGTAAGTTTAATTATGTAAATGATAAAATTATTTACATCATGCTTTTTACCTAATATTTTAAAAAGCGGTACAATGATTGACCGTCTTAGTGTGTCAAGGAACACTCGTGTACAAAATAATAAATTAATCAAATGGGTCAATACTACCACTGTTTCATTACAAACAGCTTTTGGTATTTTTGTATTAATACTAAATAATCCTCCACTATCATCAATATTAATAAAATCTATTTTTGTTCGACAGCGCTTGAATATTAAGTCGATAAATTTTCTTACGACAAATTCAAGTTCCAGAACAAAAATACAACAATATTAAAAAAAATTGGTAAAAGTGTGTTGTGGTTGTGTATGTGATGTAGTATTAATGTTTACAACAAAACTTGTTTGTTTTTTTATTTTAAAAGCAGACCTGCGTGCATAATTACTAAAGATATAATAATTATTTGCTTGTTTCATGGATTATATTACGTCTGTTTTCAGCGAGAGTCCAAATGTTGGACAACGAATACTATTGACTACGGCTTCCGTCAGCGCTCTCCGCATTAACTCATCGACTAACTGTGCGATAATATTTCATGGCCGACGCGAAACAGGATTAAGTGCAATGAGCACAACCGTACGAGATGGTGAGCATGTTAAACCATCTCAAAATTATTTTAAAAAGTTAGAATTATTATGGTGCATTTGAAATCAAAATCGAATAAGAAGAATATTATACATTCAACACATTCACATTCTGGAATACAATTGTTATGTTATAAAGTTAGCTTAAATAACCCGATTACTTGCAATGGTTTCTTTCAAGTTAAAATAACTTAGATGCGTTACACTTGAATAATTTTTTGTTTTAGCTCTTTTTACGAGTGGGACCGTGAATGTTATTGTTGTGGACTGGTCGCAAGAAGCTAATGACGATTTCCCTGAAAGTGCTATAAACGAAGTCGCGCTTGAAGTAGTTGAATTAATCAGACTGTTGATAGTTAACAACAAAATAAATCAAGCCAGACTTCATCTTATCGGATTTGAATTAGGCGCACATCTAGCTGGTCTCGTTGGCAGAGCATCAACTTACACCATAGCCAGAATCACAGGTGAGTGTTATTTTTCTTCTATTAACCTTTTGACCGCCACTGATAAAAACTTGTTTCGTTCCCTAGATGCCAAGCCTATATAGTGATTTGACATGTTACGAATTTCCCTCCAATATTAATTCAATTCTCCTAACTCAAAGAAGATAAAATGCAACTATGAATCCATACTTAACTAGAATATACATATAACACATGGATATCTTAATATTTGTTTTTAATTTCAATTGAAAATTAAAGGATTTTATTGACGCTTTAAGGCGTCATTCGTCATTGTCCTGGTTTCAAACTCAAAAATTCTCTATACTGTATCATAGTAGCGGAAATCACACTATGCCACTACCCAGAATACCCCGACCAATACCAATTTACAAATGTTGGTGGGAACCGAACCCGGGACCTCCTCATACAACGCCCACGATGCAAACCTTTGGACTGCCATAGTCGGCAAATATATTACCGTAGATAGAGGAAAATTATATATTATATCTACGCCATATCCATTTGTGTTAACCCAGGAGCAGTGATATGATACCCCGGCAGGAAAGCAGTTGCTTGTCACTTGCGGTCAGTACTTCCAATCCATGTGGCGGCATGCACATTTAATTTCTAAGTTATGTCTATTTGACAATGTTTAATAGCATTGCATCTCGCTAACGGAGAAGAAAAACATTTTGATGAAACCTGGATGTCGAAGACCGTTCACAACCCTTGAAAACGTGTAAAGTCCCCAATCTTTATTGGGCCAGCGTAACGGACCATGAACTAAAACCTCTCTCGATGGAGACTCGTGACTTTATAAAATTAAAAATAATTTGGGTTACTGACTAGTTATTTCTGTTCTTTTTTTTTTCAATACAGGTCTGAATCCGGACAGAGCTTTACAAGGAAATGCAAACGCCTTGAGAAGAACCGATGCCAATTATGTTGAAATTATACATACGGAAACAACCGAATTCGGTATGGCAAACGCTGTAGGTGATGTTGACTTTTACCCGCACGGTGGCAATGATCAACCCGGCTGTGTGGCCGCTGAAGCCAATGCAGCAGCAGATACTGCGTGTAGCCATAACCGTGCTTGGGAATTATTCGCCGCTTCTTTGACTCACGGTCGTATTATTGGCAATAAATGTCCGAGCCCACGTGATGCCATGTCAGATGAACCTTGTATTGGGTTTACTCTAGCTTTGGGCACAAACGATATGGTCAAATACGGGTAAGATAGTTTTACTTTGATATGTAAATATTTATTTATTTTATTCACGTTTATTTATATTTGGTCAAAAGTACCGAGAATAAACGGGTATATTATATAACGACTGATGGGAGTGGAGGAGGCGAAAAACGTTTGTTAGGAGCATAGTAGGTGGAGGTCCATAGTCTCTGCCCATCCCGGCGTTATTATATGTACATACACAATGTATGTGAATATTTTGACAAAACCAAGTTACAAATGCATTTCTAAAAACAAGGCCTGATGGACGTTCACATTGCACAAAGCAATGTTGAATTATCACTTGCTAGTCGCTACACGACTAGCTTCTATTTATTTGACTTATTCCCATCTGATCCCCATAACTGATCCCCTGGGGGATCCGTTTTATTTTAAATTATTTTCTATTCCCATCGGATCCCCAATACAGGGGATCAAGAATAAATATTAATATTTTATTCCCACCTCATATCCTGGTACTAGCTTATTTGTGGTAGGTACTGTGGTACAATCAGCAAGAAAATGTATTTGATGGTTGTACAGGTACCGTATTTTACATAGTTTATTAGAAATGAACAACATTATTAACTGTCCTAACTTATGTAACTGTATTAACTTTGACTTCAAAACTTCTTTTTCTCTTGACTGTGCGCACATTACAAATACAATGAGTCCATTGGGAGTTGCCAAAAAACGAGGGGATCAGTTGTAATTAAAAATTGGCGGTAGATGAGTCTTGGGGATTAGATGGGAATAACCCATTTATTTAAAGTTCTAAGGTATAAGGTATACTTCAAGATCCAATGCGAGTTTTCCCATTTTGACACGTATTCCTTGAATATACTATTTCATTAATAATATACGTTAGAAGGTACGGACAACGATACATCAGACTACACATTTTTGTTCGAAAATCGCCTCCAGTGCAACGGAACAAGATACGTCAATGTGTAGCTTGATGTGCTGGCGTGTGTACATTAATATAGTAAATTCGATAATTTAAGGTTGGTTTTCATTTTCAGTTCTGGTGCATTCCGTCTCGAAACGACTGAAGTGTACCCGTATCGCTGCTTGGTCAAGTGCGGACTGGTGGACAGTATTATCGAGGCTATTGAAAATTTAGGCAAACCTGATACAGGCCCTTGAATTTATTTTATGATTTCAATTAAAAACACCAGTTTCTATTTTATTTCTATTTATATTTTCTTTTGTAAAGGATACACTCCTTCAATATTTTGATAAATTCGAAAACGGCTCCTGTTATTGCTTATTATAGAAATATTTTGCAAGTTTAATTTTATTTATTGCAACGTTTCACATATATACCTTTTTGCCTAAATTAAAATGTGAACACATTTCATAACTCCAAAGAACATTAATAACGTTTTTAGAAGACACTTAATAAAAAAAATTATATTGTATAAGAAATAAGAGCGCATCTTTCAATAAAATACATTAAAAGTGTTTACGTAAAGTTGTATGTTTAACTGCCTCTGTGGCTGAACGGTTACCATGCCGCACTGCCACGCGGAGGTCCCAGGTTCGATTCCCGGGTCGGGAGAAATATTTGTATGGCCTACATTTATTTCTCTCGTGAGTTTAGGTGTAATTTGTGGTTGTCTATGTGTGTGTCCATGGCACCTGCGACTCAGGGTTTCCCTAGTGCGGGGCTATGTTGAGTGTGTGCGTTATTATTATTGTTGTTATTGTTATTGTATAATCAAAAACTATGGAGATATAAATTATCATAGTTGGCAATTTCTTGTAGAAGCTGAAATTAATTTGATCTCTATTCTTATATCTGAAAGTCAACATGTTACGCCAAGTATCTTACTTCAAAGCAGATAGTTATAAATTAATTTCAAACAAAACTTAATAAGCCGCAATTTTCTGTGTCCATGCATTAAACTCCGTCAAAATTTTTCTTTCTTGTCAAAATAAAAATCTACAAAAAAGAGGTATAATATAGGTTGAAAGCTATGTGAAGATCACAAAATCTTCCCAATAAACATTTCGGACCTAATGGAAAAAATATCCGAAATTCCTAAAACCTGACAACGATGGCATGTCCCGAATGCAAAATCCAACACAAAGTGTCATTTTTCTCAAAATTCAAACCGTATATATTAGACTTTAGTTGACGTATAATAAATTAGATGACAGTACTTATAATCTAAATTTCACTATAAACTAGACATTAGTTTTATCAGAATACCAAGAATGCTGCATATCCCAGACTTCGCCGGAATTCGGTGGTAGTTAGAAATCACGCTACATATCACAAGTGAAGCATTTTGAAGCTTCGCAGTTCGTTCGTATTATTCGTCCATAGCTGATACTGCTGAAGAGAACAGGTGGATGATTTGTTGCCGATTTTAGGACTTTTTGCGTATAAATACGTAATTCGGTGGATTTGGTGCAAGTTGGTTTTTTAATTCGGTGTATACAAAATTTTAAAAACTAAATTTTATGGTTGTATGTAATATGTTCTCACAGACCACATTATGTTTTATAGTATATGTTATAATTACTAAAATATAATAATATGTCGTTTACGAGCAATACAAAAAATATATATTGTTTTTGAATCCCGTGGCCTTAGATTCGGTGGATTTTATGCCACCAAATTCATAAAAGCTTGCCACAGAAGCCATATTTTCATTGAAAAGCAAGAATTTTATACGTTTTTTCGTTTATGGTAAATGTTTAGTTAATATTATTGATTTTCACAATTTTATATTACTACTTGCTTCCCGCTGAAAATGAATAAGGAAATTCTAAACAGAAAAGAATTATTGGAAATCAAGAAGATACGTAGAAGTAACGTACTAGAAAAGCAAAGATACTCGTAACTAGTCTAAACACTTTTACGTACTGTCACTTAACTTACGTTTTGGCATTCTAAACTTGATACTCTTTAGGCGGAACTAGCTATATTGAATTAGTAACAAAGTAATTGAAAACGGTCAGTACATAACGAAGTACATACAGTTTTAAAAAACGACCTGATATGGAAAGAAATAATTTACTCAAAACTAGAATTCTGAAAAATAATTTAGCGTGCTCCTATGATGGACCAAGATCATTAAATCCGTGTACGCTTTGAGTAAAAGAAGTGTTAATGGTTTTATTACTCTATTGTAATAGAAAGGATAAGCCATTAAGTACGAGAGATAACATTCATCGGTGCAAATAATATTTCCTCTACTATTCTATCTGATCCGGCACGATCGTCTACCTTACCGGCACGCGCCGATAGGCGACACAATTTTTGCCATTTACATAAATACAGTCTTGTGAAAAAAGCAATAAGGTAATATTATATTAAAGATAATATTTAGGTACTTCTATAATTCGGGTTGGATCTCATTTGTCAACATTTATTAGGGCTTTTGATATCACTGAAACTTAATTGTACGCACTGCATATCATTATCGTACATTTAAGCATACGATATCATACAAAGTAAAGGAACATAAAGTAACAACATGGCAAATCGCTAACTGTTTTTATACTGTCCTTAGGTAAAAATTGAGATAGGTATTTTTTTCCCTATGGATTTTGTTTTCAAACTGGATGTAACTATAAGTCGGTAGTTTGTGTTTTCAAGAGAAACAACAAAACAATATAGAACATAATTTACGAAAACAGTAAAGCATAGTATTATTTTTTTTATTACCAGATTATTGTTGAAAAGTCATACCGCGGTGGCCCGCTACTGTCATGGCTACCGTGGCTACCCAATGAAATGCACGTAAACGCAATTGTATGGGGAAATTGAACAGACTCATCTAGTGGTCACGACTAGAACTAAATTCTGTACCATGAGTACTTTTCGACAAATAAAAAACCTATCGAGACATTCGATAGTGAGTTACGTTCTGTTATAGTTTACTGACCATTTGGTACCAAGAGCTATTTCACAGATGTCATCGAAAAAAAAAACATTAACTACATTGACCTACGTTAACTATCAATAGTTACGTTTCCGACTTGGATTTTGACGTGTGAAACTTTGGTGTAAACCATATGTGTAAACTTACGAATTTAAGCGATTTTGTTCATTCGTGTGTTACTAAGATCTCCGTTCATAAAATATATTTTAATATGAAATATTATTTCAGTGGCAGTGGCAGTATAAACATATTTTCTTTAAATTTACGACCTCTTTCTATATTTAATCTCATTCTGTATAATTCGCTTTCTAAGATTGATTATTCAATTCAAACCCCATTTTTACTATTTCAATAACCGATCGATGAATCGTCATTCCGATCATTAGTTTCAATCCATCTGTGGGAGTTTAGATTGACATTTGTATGGCAGTGATAGTTGTGCGCTTTCCATATTTGGGGGCCTACTATGAGCTCTTATAACAACGTAATTGCAGTTTTAAATTGCATTTTGAACATTTTATTGAAAATATCTCTAACAGGCAATGGCAGATGAGTATGAACTCTTTAATATTTTTTAATTAGATGCCAATTTCATTAATAATTTAATTCGTAAGCGTCGATGCTGCACACGATAATTAAATAATCCATTTAATTTAGACGACGACGAGTTCATTAAATAATATCGACTGACCCCAAACATGGCAGGTTCTCTGTGTACAGAGCTTAAGCCATTTTTAACACAGCCAACAAAGTCGTTAAATTTGTCGGTAGAGACTAAGGTAAGTATTTACCTAAGGTTTATTTAAGAACTGTTGATATTGATTTGTTAATTAGAGTAATTTCATTTATCTAATTGCTGTCTTTAGGTTTCAACAGCTTTATCCTTTTACGCTCATGGTTTGCACCAAAGGCCTACCGGCGAGCTACGTGGCTTGTGTATAGCGCAGTCAACTGTATCAAATGTTCTTGCTCAAGTAACATCTGCAATAAATACTTCTTATATGCGAAATAAGTACCTACATTAAATTCCCATTCCCTGTCGGCCGAAGAACTCAAAACAATAAATTGCAGTTTGTGTTATAATTTATTAATGCTTAATATTATTTTATTCAAGAAAGTACGAGGAAAATAATAATTTTTATAATTTCAGATTTTACAGCAAATTTGAGATGCCCGGTGTTATTGGCTGTATAAATGGCACTCACATTGCCATTGCACGCCCAAAAGACCATGAGGAAAGGTTTTTTGTCGTAAAAATTATCACTCATTGAAAGCACAACTAGTAAGTTGAGTTATTTTCAAATGTAACATATACTAAGTCACAGATTAGGGTATGAATAGCAATAAGTTATTGAGAATGAAATGTGACTGTGATATGTTGTAATTATATTATTAATTACAGATATGTAATGCAGAGCCACGGAGGAGCTACTCATGATTCGTATTTGGTCCCATTATCCCTTATGTGCTTAACTTATCTTACTATTGGCTTCTAGGTAAGTAATAATTTATTTTAAATTACATATTATTTAATAGTATTTTATTTAATATTTTAAAAATTTACTCTGTTTCAATTTGGCAAGGTTATTTTTTCATCACAATATATTTACAGGTTATTCTGAATATCCTCTTAGGAGAACCCTAATGATACCAATATTGGAAGCACCACAAGGTTGAGAAGAAGCCTTTTATACAGATCGGCACGTGAAGACCCTGAATGTGATCGAGAGAACGATTGGTCTTCTGAAGGCTCGTTTCCGTTGCCTACTCGTACACAGGACATTTCATTATGGGCCACGAGTTGCAGGTTTAATTACAAACGCATGTGCAATATTGAATAACATTTGTAATGAAGCCAATGTTCCTGTTGAAGAATTGACACGAGAGGAAGCAAATAATGAAGCTGAAATGCAACCTAACATCATTGCGTATCGAGATGCAATTGGTGTTGCAAACAGCGACTTGCAAGCAGGCATTGCTATACGAAGTCATCTTGTGCGACGCTTAAGAAAACTCAGGCATCACCATTAGTTCCAGTTGAATTAAAATGATTAAAATATCTTTATTATTATTATCTACCATTATTTAATCAAATCAAGCACTCATACCTATAATATTAATAAATCTATAGGCATTTTAGACAAATGCGTACTATCCTAATTAACATCCGGTGAGATCGTGGCTAAGTGTGTCTATGTTATATAGAAAAATAACGAACAAATATGAATTGACAGCCGTCTCCACTAAATCAATTAAGGTCCAAAGTCGCTTTAATAAAGAAAAATTATGACAATAATACTATGTAAATAAAAATATTGTATAATTCAATTCAAACTTCAATGATTATTATTCAAAATTATACATACTAGAATAAAAATAAACAAAAACAA